CAAACACATAAATACATAATACTGTGTGAAAAATGAAGAATCGTATAAAAGTGAAAAATGATGGGAGGGGGGAAGAAAAGGCGTGAATAGAATATGATACTTTTTCTTAGGCTTTATAGGGGGGTCATGAGGGGAGGCCCTATTTTGGGATATATAGTTTTTTTGGGGGTGCTGACTCATTTTGATGGATTTTTGAGATAGGGGGAAGCTAAGAGATCGGAAGCAGTTTTCGTTTGGAATCTTCTGGAAGCTGAAAAGATTACTGTGGTTTTGGGATGTTTAGAGTGCGCGGGTTCCGAGCATGACCGCTTCTGGGTTAGAATTACGATTCTCATATATTTCCAACTGGGCTCGGCAAGGACCAGCGGGAGGTCCCATCAAAATTGATACTGTGGGCTCACAAACATATCAAAATGATGATCTTGGAAAGTTCTACGTGTCTGAAGACTTAGAATCACCTGTGGATCAAAACCAGGACCGCACGAGACCGGTCAAAGTGTCCGACTAGCCGAGACCGTGCATCCCAGGTTGGTCCGACACTGGTTCTAGTACTTCAGACATGTAGAGCTTACCGAGATCCACATTTTGATAGGTTTACGAGCCTACGGTTTGATTTTGAGAAAAGTTTTCCCAGGGCCCGCACCGGAATTGTCAAACATTAAAAAAACTTTTCGTACTTACTAAAAACTTTCTCGTTCTTTTCTGTTTCGAACAACAAAAAAATTTCAAAAAAATGTTCGCTACTTTCATTTCCTGCTATCCCCCTTCCCTCCACCCTCTCTATACTTCAAAAACACAAACACTGCTATCAGATTTCAGCTGTCGGATTATTTTTCATAAACTGTTCCTTTTTCATATCTATTTTTGATATCAAACCCAAGTTGCAATTTCAAAAACCGAAAGAAACAATAAAAAATTCTGCAGGTGTACAAGAGTAGAACCACACACTTTTATTGTTCCTCGCACCTTTTTACAGCTTTGCGTCGATAAGAAAAGAGTTGTTGAGGGTGTTATCAGAAGAAAAGAAATGTGAAGAATTAACATATGAATAGGGAGGGTGGAAAGTGTTCTTAGAGGGAATAAGTAAGGGAAAGAAACCGGAATTTGTTTTCAGAGAATGCTGAAAAATTGTTGCAAAACAGTTTTGAAAGGTGTGCCCTGGGGAAATGTACCAGTAAAATATGGCGGCAAGTGGTCCCATAGCCATTCGGGCAGCCCCGAAACGGGAGTGCTGGTCACCAAGACGAATTTCAAGTCTCTCTTTTTTGGGACCAGTTGTTCATGGGCCCAGTACTTCTGCAATCGGGCCAGTATTCCCGTTTTGTGACCACTGGTCCCAGCATGGGAGCACCAAAAAAGTATGGGACCACTAAAACCGTAAAGAGCCCAAAAGACTAGTAGTCAATGGTTCTATTAAAAAAAGGTTGAGAGGCGCAGGCACGCAGACACTTTGTCTCTCTGGCGCCCTATCCCCTTCTCGCTCACTCATCAAAGCTCTGTATTCCGAGAACGGGAGGAGTTGAAGAAACACTCTAAGAGAGAAAGTTATTCAGAATTTCATGGAGAACCTGATGATGAAATAAGTTTTGGGAAATTCTAAAAAAATTTTTTGGTCAGTCGTCATATAATTCATTTTTTCTCGGTTTTGACAGTAACGTTCTGCGACAACCCTATATGAAATTTATACCATTCGATAGAGACTGTTTTTTCTCTGCATTTTTTATATTTGCATCACCAGTGCTCGTAAAATCAAGGACCCCGAAAGATCCAAAACATGAGTGAAGTCTGATTTGGGGTAGCCCCAGTAAAAAGGAGGAGTTCAAGGATGTCAATTCTTGCAAAACCTAGTTTGCACAGCAATATGTGAATCATTCGATTGCTAAGATCAATTTTCGAGTCGTCCTGAGCTCTTAGCCACTTGCCAGGGCCGCAACTAGGACCACTTTTCATGTAAGAATTCAAGCTGCACGTATTTTTTGAGAACCCCATCTAGACCCCGTTATCACAAAAGCAATATCATAAATTGATTGGAAAACGATAGATTGAAAAAGAAGATTGGTTCTGAACTCATTCAACAACTGGACATACACACACACTCATTTTTTTTTCTTGTCGCTGCTTCCGTCGTCCCCCTATCTATTACGTAATAAATATCATTGTGTTAGTGGAGATTCTCGAGAGATAGACAGATAGAAAACAGATGTGGAGGAGCAGCTCCTCTCTCAGGAGGACCGATCGCGGGGAATTTTGAGAATTTTGTTTCTCCCTCTCTCCTACACACCCGTTCGGCAAAACAATATGACTCTCTCCTACTCGTTTTGAAATGTGATTGATTGCGGGCCCTTTTTGTTTTTTTTTTGTGTTTGAATTTTTGTGAAATTGGGTGGTGGTTTGCAGCACGAGGATCCTCAGGAATTTTGTTGAAATTTGTTCTAGAAAACATTTTCAGAGATCAGGGGATGCCCGGTAAATAAATATAGATCGGGCGGACCGACAAGCTCGATGAGTGTCCAGCTGGTGGGGGGATGATTGAAATGTATGTCTAGACGTCTCAAAGTTAGCTTTTCGAGTTTCAAGGGTTTTTGGGTTTTCAGGTGGTTAGATGTCCGGATCGATGCTCCACGACGATTTGGGACGGCCTTTTATCATATTTGTGAGCAGGAACGCCGCTCAAATTTCAGATTTTAGCGAATTACGCAATTCTAAAGCAATCCGGACCAGGGCTGTGCAAAAAAAAATTTCGAAAAAAATCGAAAAAAAAAATCTTTTTCGAAAATTTCGGACCGAAAAAAAAATCGAAAATTTTTTCGGTGAAAAATTGGTTGGAAAACGGCCGAAAAAACCGAAAAAAAAATGTTCGGACTAACATTTTTCGCACAGCCCTGATCCGGACCGACCGCTAGACCAGCCCAGACGGCTCATCTAGGCCCGTGTTGCTCGGTTTAATCGACCAGGGTCCTCTAGCTCACTTCCAGAACTTCTGCCGTGGCATACAATTTTCCTGTTCATAAATTTGATTTTGAAGCGATTATTCGGAACGGTTGTCTGTCTGTATATCTGTTTGTCCGTACGAACAATCAAATTCAAATTCTTTATGAAATTTTAAATAAGTTAATAGGCGTCTTTTATATACAAAAAAATCAAGTAGTCGGGCCCGGTTATCTATTGACGGCGTTGTGGGAATCTGAAATTCCATAAAATCAACCAATCCCCTCCTTCCATTTTCAACTTACCCTGGTGGTGGTGGTGGAAGGAGTCTCTTGTATTCCGGAGCCAAGTTATCCAAAACACCACGGATCGCATTCTGTCTCTGCTCGAATCCGATGGTCTTGTCACGATGGATGCTCTTCAATTGAGCCTGAACATCGGCTGGAAGTTGGGTGAATCCGGGTGGTGGTGGGATACGCTCGTGCACCTCGTCGGGGAGGTTCACCATGATCTCGTCGATGGCCTTGTGCTTATCGAGCTCAGAGAGCGATGAGTCGGCGTGGATGGCCTCGAGACGGGCCAAGGTCTCTGGTGGGAGCACGGCGGCGATTGGTGGTGGGACTGCCTGGAACAAGAGGGGTTTAGGATGGAAAATGAGAAAAAAAACTCACGCTCATCCCTGGTGGTGGTCCTCCTGGTCCTCCTGGAAACTGTGGTCGAGCCATGACGGCTCCAAAGACGGCCAAAGCCAAAATAGTAAGCTTGGTGGAAGACATCATTGCCTGTCGTCCCGTTGGTTTTCATCTGCTTTTATATGGTCATCGATGTTTACTCTTAGTCTGACTCCGCCCCCAAAAAGAGCACAATGCACAAAAGTGCAAGGGGTATCCAAGCGAAATAAGGGTGACCGATACTGGGGTGGATCCGGAAGTTTGTCTTGTTTTTGTTATCACTTTTCCCAGACATCTTTGGGGATGGCCGTCTTCTGATCAGCATCAAGCTCTACACGAAAAAAAATCACACATCAACACTATCCCAACTTTGATGACCATTATTTGCCTACTCTTCTTCCCTGCGCTCTCTCTCCCACTGACCACTCTCTCTCCGATTGTGCACACTCCACTTTGCTCTGCACCCTTTTTTGTCCTTTTCCCCCCAATATATTTTTCGAGAGAGCACGATTTTTAGGCCCTATTATTTAATTCAGGAGTAGCATCATGCCCGAAATAGGTGTGGATTGTATTTGCTGTAGGGTATCCTGTCTGTATCGTTATTTTGGTTATGAGTTGAGCAGAAGCGAGAGGTTAGGGTCGGGGAGCAGCGGGAAGTAAAGGGGAGCACAAGTTCGTGAGATTACGTAAGTTGTACAAATTGACTTAATGTACTTTTGATGTGTCATAAGAAGGGGAAAAAAGCGGAAGTGCATTAACCAACTTCCTTTTTTGAGAGCGACCAATAGGTTAGTGGTTTTTGTAGCTAGATATGGTTTTGCGATTTTTTTAGCATAAAAAAAAGTTTCTCAACTGCTGTAATGGTGATCATCTGCTATTTTGTAACTGCTTGTGTCTCAACTGCTATATTTAGCTCTTCTGTTTTGGATCAACTGCTATTTTCGCCTCTTTTTGTGTCTCAAACGCTATGGCTATTGTCTCAACTTCCAATGGCTACACGGTAAATTGTTTTAAAAGTTCTATGCAATTTAATTCAAAAAAATTTTAGGTCCCAATTTCTAAATTTCCAACAAAACGAGGCAAATGCCTACGTATCGCTGAGTCGCCACGCAGTTGGCATGCGACAGTAAGAGAGAGCCCGCGAATGAAAAATTTTGAAAAAACTTTTGAAAAAAAATTACCGTGTGGCTATAGCAGTTGATCCATAGCAAAAGAGCCAAATATAGCAGTTGAGGCACTAGCAGTCACAACATAGCAGTTGAGAAATAGCAGTTGAGTATTTGCCTATTATGCCTACCAACCCAACCCAACTCTCTCCACATCACCTGCCTTTCCTCCCTCCACCCATAAATCTCCCTCCCCTCACATTCATAACGGCCTCTATCCCCCGCTGCATTCCATGCACGGATGGCCGAGTGGTCTAAGGCGCCAGACTCAAGCGTGACGCTTACCTCGAGTTCGAGGCCTCTCTGGGTGTTCTGGTACTCGTACGGGTGCGTGGGTTCGAATCCCACTTCGTGCAAATTCTTTTTGCTTTTTTTTCTTCAGTAGAGTAACAATTTTTATTTATGGAGAACAAGCAAAAAACTCTGGATTTGAAAAAGATCGATTGAGAATGTTGAAAATGGATCCTATCTCGTATTTTTCTTGACGAATATTCCTCAGCTTCAAGAACAAATCCTGAATTTTCATTAGGTGCTTGACTCGTAATGAATACATTGGCTGATTTTTTTCAATGTAGTATTCATGAAGGTCATTAGATAGGATATCTTGAAGACGTTCCATTTCTTCAGCGATATGACTTCCGGAGGTCTTGCCAGTGACTTGAAAGCAAAGGTTGCACATGAGAAAAGTGAGCTCCACATCGTCAGGTTGGACTAGCATCATTTCGTGGATAACGTCGTCGTAGAACATTTCACTGGGGAGGAAGAAGCTGTCAAAATAACTTTTACAGCGGAAAAATAGAAAAAAAAACTGGAAAAAATGGAAAAAACCTACTATCTCATCTCTTCAAAAGCATATTTCGACCAGCAACTTAGATCGGAAGACATATTATCATAATTCACCAATGTGTTACTTGAATATACAAATTGCTGAAAACACAGTTGACCTAAATCAGTTCAAACTGAAAAAAAAACTTACTCTTTTCCCACACTTTTCCCTTATCCTCATCCTAGCCGTTGTAGAAATCTGCTCCAGTCTTCCCCATACCCACCAAATCGATCGCAACAAAATAATCTTCAACTCATCGTCATATTCTTTTATTCTATCCGAACAGGACAACCATTTGGCAGCTGCACACATATTTGTCTCGAATTCTTGTTTATAATCGTCTTGGGATATCATGTAGACCTCTGACAAGGTCTCTTTCTGGTCAGACCGGAAGTCTAGAAGTCCTTGGGTAAGCTGTTCCAGGTTGCTAGTTTTTCGGGAAGTTTGGCGGGATAGTACCACCATGTTTGGGGTGAGGATAACTTGGATGGCTTTTTGGACAAGGCGAGAGGTGTCTACATGGGGTAGATCTTGGTTCCGCCCAGTTTGTCGGATGAAGGAGACTAGGTGGGGAGCTCCAAGGATGGATTCGATGGTTTTAGGCAGGGAGGTTTTCATTCGGTTACTTCTGACCACTGTTAAATTTTCAGATAGTGTAATTGATCCTTTCAAAGAGTCACGATCGTATTGGATGTCTGGAAATATTAGCTGTCAAAATGGTGACCGATTGGATTTCGTTACTCCGGTTTCGGAAGTTACGGCGAGCAGCCCTGGCCTAACTTTCCAAGAGGGCCGCGGCCGCCATTTTTACAGCCTTGCCATCAACAAAAACTCACTTTTCGCCGACATCCCCAGTTCTTCACATCTTCTGAATCGACACTTCTTACAAAACCATTTTCCACTTTTCAACGGTACACATTGATGGTTTAGCTGCCGACACTTCCGGTATTCTGTGGTGACTGACATGTGGGTTCTTCTGAAAACTTTCATTTGTAGAGGAAGAAAACTTTAAGGAATTACCGAAAAAACGCTGCACACGCTCTACATGTATATACTCCAAAATGGACTCCGTGGCCCAGGTGTCCACAGATTTTGCATTTTCGGTCGAGGGGTTCTGAAGACTTTGAAGCAGAAGGCTCCATTTCTAGAGGACTAGTTTTCATAGGGAAATGTAATAAAGTGTTTGTTCATAAAAAAAGAATAGTGTAGAAAAATGAGAGGAATAGAGATGGAAAAGATAACAACATTGATAATCAAGGTGAGGGATTAAGAAACGCAGATTGGCAGGGGAATTTATGACTTCTGATGTTGATTTTTGGTTTTTTAGTGTTACTTTGTTACCTAAAAGACTGGGAACTGTTGGGACGTTTCTAATAGAGTGGCACGGGGTACAGGAACAAGTGATTAGGTAGAGGGGACGGTACTCAAAACACAATTTATCTGGAAGGACCTCTGGTGGGTTCTAACCCAGTGACGGTCTGCCCGATCATTATAAGCGCAACCGTCTGCACTACCAACTGCCCTACTCGATTCGGAAAACGTCTTTAGGCGTCTGGCCCCTTTTTCCGCCATCTCAATTGACCAAATTTTGGCAGCACTACTAGTGGTGCAGTCCAGATAGCTTCAACCCAATCACATGTCATGTAAAACCTCAAACTCTCAAAAATCCAGTACTAAAACTCAGAAAACCTACCCTTCCTCCGATACCAAACATCACAATCCATCACATCCCCAATTTTTTTGTTTCAGAACTATCACGTACTCAGTACGTATGTTCATTTCTCAAAATGTTCTATGAACCTTATCTCCTCAGAAGGATTGGGGAGGGCGCCCCAAGAAGTGGTGAGGTGGGCGGAGCCTCGCGGCACAAAGAACGATAAACGGTTTCTATATAAAATGAAAGGTTAGGAGAGGTTTAGAATCTTTTCATCTTTCCTTTTCTTCAATTTCAGTCTTATTTTTCGATTTTCAGAAAAAATGAAAGTTCCCCATGTGATCGCTGAGTTTGTCTCGGATTTTTCTGGCTTCCAACACACTCCAGACTTCAAGGCATCCAGATCCACTGGTAACTTTGAGGAGGAGGAGCAGGGATCCTCATCTTCCCACCCTCCTGAGCATCATCATTCTGAGCACCACGGACACTCCCTGTACTTTGGGAAACATTTCGGAAAGAAGCATCTGGCTCCCGTGGATGAGAAGGAGGCGGATACCCACTCCACGCATTCTGGACACTCTGGGCACTCGGAGAGTTCCTCACACAAGCAGAAACATCATGGATTGACTGGGCACCTCAAAGAGTTCTTCCATATTGGACATCATCATAAGCATCATGATGAGGAGCATCCACATTCCAAGGTGAACTCAGGAGCGTCTACTCCTGCAAGGAAGAATTCCACAGGGAGTCAATGTCCATGTCATAAGCATTCTATTAACATTACAGTGGGAGCGGTGAGTAGATATTTTTATTTTGTTAATTTTTTGGACCCTGGTGGACCTGCACACCGTAAGACCTATAAGCTATATGCGTAAATCCTGTAACAGGAGAGTACTGTATGTTCAGAACAGTATATCTCAGTTGCTTTTGAAGCTATCAAAAAATGTTCAACAAAAAAAATGTTGAATTTTTTTTGCTTAACATTTCATTAGTTAAAAACTTTTTGATAGCGTTAAAGACAACTGAGATATACTGCTCCGAACACTACCAGCCTTGTGGCAGACCAATGGCGCCACCGATTGAGCTACCCTGTCTTCCCTTACGGGTTTCAGTCCCCATTTTAGCCACCAAATCTGATTTTTGATCCCATTCATTTATAAAACTGCGTTTTGCTTCCTAAAGTGAAGTCTGGTCTTTTGTTTCCCTTCAGTTTTGATTTGATACGAAAACACATACAAAAAGAATGCGTTAGACCTTGAACCCCTCCTTTGCAGGGTACAAAATTTGGACTTTGGTAAAGACAAAACCATTTTTTTGTTATTTTTTCGAGTGTTGGGCCTGATCTCCTTTTGGAAAACAAGTCAATATTCTGTTGGATCTTCTTCCCCCCCCTCCTCTATTTTAGTTCCTATCTCTTCACACTCATTATGTTTTCAGGACGAAGTCCCCACTGTCTTGGCCACCCCACCAAACGAACCGAACCCTCATCACATCCACTTCCTCAAAAACAACCAGTCACCATGCATCTCCCGTGTGGTCAGTTCGAGTTCGTTGAAGGAGAAGCTGAACAAGATCAAACGGACGAGTAGTACGGATAGTGAACAGGACTTCCCGGAGAAAAAGTGTTCGGTGGCGTCGTATCGTGTGGTGACACATTAATGATCTCTCTGATGAAAAATGAATTATTTTGATAAAGAGCTTGTGTGTTTTTTTTTGTAGTTCGGGGTGTCTGGGTATCCAGATGTCTGGATGTCCATGGGTTCAATTCTGGAAACATCCGAGAATGTCGGACATGTAAGAAGATTCCGGAAACTTCATTTGGAGATCTCTGAAAAGTTACGTGCCTCAACTTCCAATTTCCAGACTTTTCTATGTACTTCCCTCTGAACAAATCCCAAATCAATCACCAACAACACCACAAAATTTTCTAGAAGGAACATGACCAACCCTTGTGACCTCTATAAAACCGTTTCTCAAATCTAAAAGAAAAATGAAACGGATTGGTCAACAAGGCCAATTGCATTCCACCATCTCCACCGTCTTCTCCTATTTTCATCAGTATCTTATCTCAAATTATCATTTGACTTCTCATACACTTCCACGTGATGATCTTCAACTTCTTTTTTCCATCGGGGAAAGAAGAGAAAACAGGAAATTATGGGTTTGACAATTTTTTGGAAAAGGGAAATGGGAAATGAAAAGGGTTGCAGGAGAAGGAGAACATAACGGAAGATGGGAGAGGAACTACTGAAACAAAAAGAAAATAATTGGGTGGTGGCTGGGTTTTGCAGGACGGGCTGGAACTGAAATGGAACCACAATATTTCGGTTTTTCGGGGAAAATGAGAGATTTCTCGGTGGTTTGTACTACATTTTCGAGAAAATTTGAAGTAACTCAGAATCCAAACTCAGATTTTGGTCACGGCCCGGCGGAATTGACACGAGTGCAAAACAAGTATGAAACAACCGAGTGCTCTATGATTTTTCTGATTTTATGACTTAAAAAAATGTATTTAAATACTCTGAGTCTGAAAAATTCAATCTTGGCTCGGCTTTATTGCTTAGTTTTTGAGATAATGCGATATTTGTACTGAAATTGAACAAAAATTAAGTGAAATGCAATGTTTTCAGCATTATCTCAAAAACTAAGTAATAAAGCTCTATCGAAACCAATTTATTTTTTGGATTCAGGGTGTTCAAATACATGTTTTCTTATAATGAAGTAAAAAAACCAAAAAGAATCGTTTTTAAAAGTCCATTGCTACCTACGAGCTGTTTTGTACGTCATCTCTTACCCAAAATATTTTCAACCACATGAAAAAAAAAATCTCCAAATACACCTGCTTTTCTGTGCTAGTCACCCTAGCCTAAAGTCGT